CATCATAGGAGCAGAGAGGCTGACGTTTCGGGCCTAGACCCTTCTGCTCCTATGATGCTGCTTGGCCTGCTGTGTTCATCCAGCCCTGCACCTTGTTGTCTCGAATTCTCCAGCATCTGCAGTTCCTACTATCTCTTAAATTTTTACAGTAGGTTGAAGAATTTTAACCAGCACAGAAGTCAAATTCCAATGATCAACAAAATGTTACTCATTAAGAAGATGACTTCATAGATCTCAGAAGAATGCTCAGAGGACTGAGCAGAACAACTACACTATTTGACATTAATTATTTTGGTGTATGGTAACATTTCAGCACAGGGATCAAACAGACTACTGATTTTACACATTTAAAGGAACTATTGTCTCCGAACCACAAAAGAATCTTCAAAATCTGATCATCCGTTAACTTTGACATGACAACCATCAGGAGTTACCAATGAACTCTTTTTAAAGTCAATTCAAAATGTTTAAAAGAAGCAATAGCAAAACCGCTCAGTAGTTCCACTGTCTATGATAGAACCTGATAAAATTATGATGTTATCCAAAGAAATACGAGCAAGAATGGAAAGACCACATGCACGTATATTTTGATACGGCAAGCAAATTAGGAGATTACTTCTTTCAGAAGCTCAACTATCTTCTCTTGACATGGTGTGGGAATAGTACCCAATGGGAAACAAAAGTTCAACAGCACCAATGCCAGGGGGCAAATTCAGAAAAGAGAATGTTACAACTTAACAATCCACTAAGGTTAGAATCGTTTTTGTATTTTTGTAAGATGAGTTAGGCATATTTTAGAATCACTGACCCTAAATTCTTCAGTTCCCGAAACTGGGCATGGTTCTGGTAGTTACAGTGATAGCTCTCCAGCAAAAAAAGGTCAAAATTAAACCCATCTTGGACCTCATAAAAATAAATCAGATGACTTATGGGCACTTGTTCTCCTTCTGACTGCACAGAATGTTCCAATCAATCAGTCATGATATTATTAAATGGCAAAGCAAGAAGCCAGATAAGTCTACTCTTGCTGCCAGTTCATATGTTCATTTAAGTTTCTTGCTGCTTTTTAGTCAGACTCCAGTGGTTAATTTATAGACCATCAGTTAGGCCATTGAAGACCTATAAATAGCATTGTGCTTCAACTGGATCAAACAAATTTAGGGGTCTGGGTCTGAAGTTTGTTTGGGTGCATCATTTCTGTAATCCTTCATGCTGTTTGGGCATGGGCCACTTAACTGTTAAATTATAATTTATTTTAGGCCAATTATTTGGCACAAAAATGTGTTTTCAAAAGGCAAATGTGTTAAATTGCAATGGACATGATTTTAACTTACTCAAAAGCTACTCACTTGTACAGAGATAAATCGGGGTGATAATTGATAATAGGGATAATTTCTAGCTCCTACCTGCTATAAACATTGCAAAACTGCATCAAGTAAAAGGAAAGAGATTTTCTTTTTCCTTGAGGGAACACTCATAGCTTGAAAAGCTTCTGTTTTGAGTCCACAGATGTCCTGATTGCATTTGGAGTTATAGGACAGTATCTCCAGGAAAAAGGAGTTAGTTCAGAAAAGTTAGAATACATGTTATCTTAGCGTAAGTTTTAATTTTGAAAGTTCCAGGAAGAAGTGTTTGGTTAGAACCCTGAAGGGATTACTTGAAGCTGAGAAAACCTAAACTCAATTCTGTGAATAGTCAAGGATGAGGTTATCAGACTCTCAAGAACAGGAATTGAAAGTAACAGTTTACTGAAACATATGGAAATGATAGAAATGAAAATTCTTGCTGGTGCCTGAGTATTGTCAAAGAATGCTATTGGGAATAGATGGATTATCATATTTTTAGCGTATTTTGGAATCTTTCAAATCATATCATATGTAAATAGCCTGGTTTCTTCTGTTTTATCCATGCCTTCCTTGTGTAATAAACTTCTGTTTTTACTGTTAAAACCAGATCTGAAGCATTCTGTGTTAGCCTGTTAGTGGAAGGCTACCTCATTAAATTAAAGAAAAGCACAATATGATCTATCAAGCCAATTTCTGACTTTTCCAGTAATACCATCAGCTGGGATCATAACACTACTTAAACTTTGACTACACAGACTGCTGTATCCTCCCTATTCTTGCACAAGTTATCCAGTACCTGGTGGGCACTGTAACAAAAACTAAAATTAAACAGTCACTGGTAACTTAAAGAACCATAACAGAAACTTAGGTATAATTACAAAGGCTTGAGATGACACATCTGTATCCATCAGGACCTTGTTCTACTGTCCACTTTTTCACTCACAGACTATGTGATATCATCAAATTGGGTGGAGCTCAATGCACCTTCACCATTAACTCTTAAAGTACCATTACTTACACAATATCTCCCTCAAAAGTCCTGTCACCCATAGTTAACACTTATATTTTTAGGTATATAATGACTTTTACACTCACCAATGTGCCATCTCCTCGCCAAGTGTCTGAACTTATAAAATCAGGGAATCTGGTGGTTTTTCACAATTCTTCCAAAAGGGTTCTGTTCTGTCTTGGTATGTCTCTTGCTTGAGGACTGTTTAGCTTGATTCGAATTCTCTCAATCATCTCTCCGTTGGGAGATCTTTTATTTCATGGAAGTCCTACAGAGAGGATTTTGTTCCCATTAAACCCAGTAGTAAGTCCATTGTCTTAATTGGAGGACCTTTAACCTTGTGAATGTCCACACTGGAAGCCAGATGCACAAATACTTCCTTAAAGTATCCTGGATTTCAAGAGCATGCAACTGGTTTTCAATTTGAATGGGCATTCTCTTCTTCTGCAATGTTGTGGATATCCAGGCCAGGCAATTTCTTCTTTGCGGCTGTGTCCTGAATCTGTGCATATCAAGGCAGCATTCACCTGAAGTTAGCATCAAGGAACTCTAGCAAAACTGGAATCTGTGGGAATCAGGGGAAAGCTCTTGGCTGATTGCACCCACACCAGCACGAAAGAAGATGGCTGCGGCTGTTGGATGTCAGTCATCACACCTCTAGGACATCACTACAGGAGTTCCTCAAAGTAGGTCTATCCATCCTCAGCTGCTTCAACAATGACTTTCCTTCCATCAGAAGTGGGGATGGTGCCGAATATTGTGTTAAGCTCAGCACCATTCATGATTCATCAGACACTGAAATAGTCCATGTCCACATGCAGCAAGGTCTGGATAATATCTAGGCTTGGGCTGACAAGTGGCAAGTAGCATTCATGCCACACAAATGCCATCTCCAACAGGAGAGAATCTAACATGGCCCTTGACATTCAAAGGCATGACCATTGCTAAATCCCCTACTTTCAACATCCTGGGGGTTATCATTGACTGGAAGCTGAGCGGGGCTAGCTATATGAATACCATGACTAAAACAGCAGGTTCACGGTTATGAATTCTGCCGCGAGTTACTTACCTCATGTGTCCTCAAATTCTATCCACCATCTAAAAGGTATAAGTCAGGAGTGTGCTGTATACTCCCCACTTGCCTGAATGGGTGCAGCTCCAACAACGCACAAGAAGCTTGACACCAGCCAGAATAAAGCAGCCCGCTTGATTGTCTCCACATTCACAAACATTCACTTTCTCCAACACCAATGTTCAGTAGTGGCATTTGCCATCTAGAAGATGCACTGCAGAAATTCAACAATGTTTGTTTGTCAGCGCTTAATTATATAGCTCTAACGTGTTTTGAAAATGGCTGTGATGGCATAGTGGGGAGTGTTAGGGCTCCTGAGCCCTTATGCTGCAGGCCTGTTGCCTCCTTCTCTCTCTCTCTCTCTCTCTCCCCTTTTCTGTCTCTTTCTCTTTTCTTTCATCTTCTGACATGGTGAGGAAGCCAGAGTGTTGTTGTAGGGCTGTCAGCAACAGCGGTGGCACTGTCTGGATCGAGGACTCGTTTCGGTAGGCGTGGAGCCTGGACTCGGGAACTCAGTGGGCTATTGGCTGTGGCAGAGCTTTGTGCATGAAGTGGGGCTGCATCATTTAAGCAGCATAAGGACTGGAGGTATGGTCCCAGCGCGGACTGGAGGTATGGTCCCAGTGCGGACTGGAGGTGAGGTCACAACGGACTTGAGGTATGGTCCCAGTGCGGACTGGAGGTGAGGTCACAGTGCGGACTGGAGGTATGGTCCCAGTGCGGACTGGAGGTGAGGTCACAGTGCAGACTGGAGGTATGGTCCCAGCGCGTACTGGAGGTGAAGTCCCAGTGCGGACTGGAGGTATGGTCCCAGCGCGGACTGGAGGTATGGTGCCAGCGCGGACTGGAGGTGAGGTCACAGTGCGGACTGGAGGTATGGTCCCAGTGCGGACTGGAGGTGAGGTCACAGTGCGGACTGGAGGTGAAGTCACAGTGCGGACTGGAGGTATGGTCCCAGCGTGGACTGGAGGTATGGCCCCCGTGCCGATTGGAGGTATGGTCCCCGTGCGGACTGGAGGTGAGGTCCCAGTGCGGACTGGAGGTGATGTCCCAATGTGGACTGGAGGTATGGTCCCAGTGCAGACTGGACGTGTGATCCCAGTGCAGACTGGAGATATGGTTCCAGTGCAGACTGGAGGTGAGGTCCCAGTGCGGACTGGAGGTGAGGTCCCAGTGCAGACTGGAGGTATGGTCCCGGTGCGGACTGGAGGTGAGGTCCCAATGCAGACTGGACGTGTGATCCCAGTGCAGACTGGAGGTATGGTCCCAGTGTGAACTGGAGGTGAGGTCCCAGTGCGGACTGGAGGTGATGTCCCAGTGAAGGGTGGAGGTGAGGTCCCGGTGCGGACTGGAGGTATGGTCCCAGTGCGGACTGGAGGTGAGGTCCCAGTGCAGACTGGAGGTGAGGTCCCAGTGCAGACTGGAGGTGAGGTCCCAGTGCAGACTGGAGGTATGGTCCCGGTGCGGACTGGAGGTGAGGTCCCAATGCAGACTGGACGTGTGATCCCAGTGAAGAGTGGAGGTATGGTCCCAGTGTGAACTGGAGGTGAGGTCCCAGTGCGGACTGGAGGTGATGTCCCAGTGAAGGGTGGAGGTGATGTCCCGGTGCGGACTGGAGGTATGGTCCCAGTGCGGACTGGAGGTGAGGTCCCAGTGCGGACTGGAGGTGATGTCCCAGTGCGGACTGGAGGTGATGTCCCAGTGAAGAATGGAGGTGAGGTCCTGGTGCGGACTGGAGGTAGAGTCCCGGTGCAGACTGGAGGTGAGGTCCCAGTGCAGACTGGAGGTGAGGTCCCAGTGCAGACTGGAGGTATGGTCCCGGTGCGGACTGGAGGTGAGGTCCCAATGCAGACTGGACGTGTGATCCCAGTGCAGACTGGAGGTATGGTCCCAGTGTGAACTGGAGGTGAGGTCCCAGTGCGGACTGGAGGTGATGTCCCAGTGAAGGGTGGAGGTGAGGTCCCGGTGCGGACTGGAGGTATGGTCCCAGTGCGGACTGGAGGTGAGGTCCTGGTGCGGAATGGAGGTGATGTCCCAGTGAAGGCTGGAGGTGAGGTCCTGGTGCGGACTAGAGGTACGGTCCCAGTGCAGACTGGAAGTATGGTCCCAGTGCAGACTGCAGGTGAGGTCCCGGTGCGGACTGGAGGTGAGGTCCCGGTGTGGACTGGAGGTGAGGTCCCGGCGCGGACTGGAGGTGTGGTCCGAGTGTGGACTGGAAGTGAGGTCGCAGCGCGGACTGGAGGTGAGGTCCCAGTGCAGACTGGACGTGTGATCCCAGTGCAGACTGGAGGTATTGTCCCAGTGCGAACTGGAGGTGAGGTCCCAATGCGGACTGGAGGTGATGTCCCAGTGCAGACTGGAGGTATGGT